AAACTCCTTAGATTGTAGTTTAATATGCTATACGAATAATTTAATTTCCTATCATAATGCCCATTAAAAATTACTTTGAAATGTGTCAGGTATTTCTTGCCCACCTTGTATATTTATTTATTGAAGTACCCTCGTAGGATGCGCTTCTACCGGTCAATCTCATGAAATATAGTAGTTCAGATTATTCAGGAAGATATGGCTTTGATTTTTTACTTTGGCGTGGAGACCTGTGCCCCCCAGGATAAACCGTGCATACAGGCACTAGATGGAAGTACGTTTTTCATACTAAAAAGCCATTCCTCAGTCCTCGTTCGTAAATCCGTCGCGGTCATAGCGTGCCTTCCCTGGAACAGTGCTCTCGTGTTATGGCGAGTCCCAGAAAGCAAACCACGAGCCCAAAATAGTGCTCTGAGAGTGCCGAAGTTATTAAACAGGATGTGGCTGGAGTCAAGTATGTACCACAGTTGTATTTTTCTAAGAGAATGGCGCAAAAATGGTGTTTTAGAATTCATGCAGAAATTTTTTTTAAGATGGACGTGCGGCTTATAACCACTATATGCACCATTTTGACCACTTGCGATGGATTTATATGTGCGATCTTCATAAAGACATGCCTTTCGACCTTACAAAGACCTTTCAAAGTCCATGCCATTTTATGTAGGTTTGACGAAAAGACCTTCAACTTTTAGCCTTCATGACAATACCTCTACTAGAGCCATTCTTATGAAACCTGTATTGTGCAGGGACTGATATTTTCTTAACACGCTATCGAAATTTCATGCAAATTTCTTTCGCAACCACAGACTGTAAATGATTATTGATTAAATATTGGAAATTGAAAATGGACGTGGACCTTCAGCCACTGCAGAATGACAAGACTCCGCACAAGCACCCACTGCACTCGAGCTTTTCTTTCCTTCAACTCTCAGCAGGAGCCCCTGTCCGTTGTTAATATCCAACTTATTTTTAATTTTTAATCAGGGCCTATTTTTTTCATGTTCTGTATATTTGAGACTCTAGTGACACCTTAGCACGTACGCTAACCCTATCTCAAGGAAAATCTTGCCGTTTTAATTTATTTAGAATTATGACATAAAGTCAGCAATTTTTCAGCGGTTGTATAAACATTTCTGGATAATTCAAGACCTATAAACTTTTACGAAAACAATTAATTATAGATCATCATAGATTATCATGTCATAACATCGAACCCATCTCGGTAATTTAAACCGATTTATTTGGAAAGTCAAGTATTAAATCCCAATGCGAAAATCGTCCTTCCTAATTCTCCGTCATGATTAAATCTGACAAAATTGAATACAGAGCAGTCAAAACCGTGTCAGTCCCGAAGAAAAAGAATGGTAGATGAAAGCCTCCTGATGAGTTTGCAGTTCTGCGCTATCTCTTCATTAACAGCATGCTGATAAGCCTCTAGCTAGGAGGCCAAATTCCGCAAGTGTACATCGCTGGAATGAAGCGATGGCCTACATTGTCATCACGGACCTTGCACAGTTGTGCACGAGCACGTCTGCAGTTGAATTCGACCCCTTTTTATTCTTTTCATGAAGATGAGCTTCTTTGTCGATTTGAGAACCCCCCCCCCCCCTCCCTTCGACTTCTTCCTCGCTTCATCGCTCTGATGAATTGGTTTTCAACCAGACCATTACGGTTAAATGAGGTACGCAGTTGCAGACCCTCTACTCCGTTATATCATGCTGTCGGCAAGTTGTGAATGTCTCTATAGGAGTTATAGCGCTTCATATAAGGTGTCACCCATGATTGTTGCCCATCTTGATCTGAGATCAGGATAAGTTGTTATCTATCAAAATGAAGCTTGCTTTAATACTATTTTTCTTAGCTTGTTTCAGATAAATTGACTTATTTGATTGGTGACAATGAAGCTTTGAGGTTAATGCACCTTGCTATGTGCTGTGGCCGTGCCGTGGCATTCCGCATGGCAAGAGACGCAGGGGCAAACGTCACCACGCGCGTCTGTATTGTTCGAAAATTTATATGCAGTGAATCTTGGGTTACTCGAAACTGGAACCGGAATCCAAACGAACTTTCGAGCTTGATATTGAGCAAGTGGAATGCCACTGCCATAGTATGGTGCACTAACTTAAAAGCTGCTGTCACCCCTCAAATGAGTTATTTTATATTAAACGAGCAGGAAATTTACGTAGTAAAGTAAGCTTTAGTTTTGATAAATTATTTATCTTGAGCTTCACGGATAAATCTGTATGGTGAACAACAAACGTTGTGTGACACCCTGGATAGTAGGGACCATAATCCAAGATAGGTAAATTGCTGAATTCACGAAAAATCACGAATCACAATTCACGAAACAAATTCCTCCTGTCATAACGCACGTTCACGCTCATGCTTTACTCCTTTGTAGGCGACTCTAACGTGATTTAGTATTAATGATTATCACGAACAGATCACCAGCGTGTTAAAGGTTGTTATCAATTACTCCGTGTACTCCTCTTGAGGTAATACAATGGGTTTATTATGACGTACAGTGTTGAAAGAGATCAATAGTGACAAAGATCAGAAGGATATGAAACCAATGTTAAATTCTACTGCGTTAGATGGATAATGGATAAGGAATGCAGGAAGAACAAAACCTGAATAGATATTAGTGTGAGGAGGAACAATGTACTGCACACAACCTCAACTCTCGATGACAACTCCCTCAAGGGTTCAATGAATGTCCCGCGTCTTCGCTAGACTTCTCCACCAAATCTGACTTTTTCCTCGACTCTTGATCCAACAACTCCCTCCGACTCTCCTCGCGCGATCTTTTATAGTCTCTTACTCCAGGACATGCGTGCTTGTACATCTATCCAACCTCACTATCAAGATGATTCGTAATAGGTACCTTCTACACCTTTTCGCTTCTTTTCCTCGAGGTTTCTGGATTCAACCTGGACATTCTATATTGCTTACTGATTATCATATTGATACATTTATGAGAAAATTATCATGATATGGTGGAGAATTGCAGACAACAGGGTAGTATCACTTTTGTTAAGTGTAAGAATCGCTTTTCGAATATTATTTAAAACATTGATTTTCAGTTATACGTCAACTACAGTAATCATCTCAGATGTGACGGTCAGGTCTGTTGTTAAATCCAATGAATTGCTTTCTTTTGTGAACGTCACTCGGTGATTTACTCTGCCTGTCAAAATAGCGACTCTGTGATCTGGGAAAGGAAAAATTTTCGTTACAATGCGCAGGGGTATTCTATATTCTAATAGACCCATTCGTACACTAGATGTGGCTATTTATTGTCAGTGTTTCGTTTTCACGATGAAAAAAGTTTCGCTTTTTGTTTTTATAGGACGCTTGCTCTGCACGTTGCCAATCCCTTTCTTCATATTCCGGTTACCTTGCGTGCCGCATTCTTTGTGTCGTGTACTTTCTTATCTATATATGAAACATATGTACTATAGGCCTATGTGTTCCTCCCCCTCAGATTTCCTTGATTTAATCGGTGGGATGATATAAGATTGGACTCACCTGAAAGCGTTCGCACCAGTGAAGAGTCACATATTGAGGGAGAAACGAAAAAAGGAAGGTAGGAGACGGACGGAGAGATATTAAATGTAAATGGGAGTGACTGAACTTGAAGCGAATGTGGAATAAGGAGGAATGAGGATCCCGTTTGAGCAGTTCACGCTCCAGCAGTCATCCAACACACCGCAGACTCTCACCGTGACCGTCATATCCAATGTCCCACCACCACGTGATTTCTTTTTCTTTTTTTTCCCCATCCATTCCGGCTTGCTTAATGTTGGCGGATGAAAGGAGAATGTCGCGCCGGTGCATGTAAATGATGCTTATTTTTGGGTGGCCTGGATTTCCTCATGAGGCGGAAGACCGTGAAAACGCGTTCTGGTTCGCATGTATTCGCATTAGGTTTAGATTCACATCGGTGATACTGAGTTCGAATTGAGTATCGATTCGTATATAATGAAGGGAGGAGGGGAGAAGACTTTCGTTGACAGATAGGGCAGGAGGAGTCCGGACCGATTTAGTAGACATGTCAGAAAGTAAAAAAAAAATGTAAAAGGGTAGCATGAGAAGGGGAAAGGTCCGTTAGCATGACTTCACACTTTTTAAAGTCTCCTTTTCCTTAATCATTAGTTCCATAAGGTGACTGACTCCCGTGTCTCCTCGACCGAGTCATGACCAATACCATGTTCCACGCTGGTTCCTCAAAAAAAAATCCTGGCATTTTTATCACGCAGACCCAGACACATCTGCACAGATGCAGTGTGAGAATGTTAATAATTGCATCTATATTAATTTAAGAAGAAAAGAACGGTAGACAGCAGCGGACAGGACAGACCCATCCATCCTCCTTCCCTTCCTTGCTCTGTCGAGACTCCTGCAAGAGTCGTCGTATATATGTTCAACCAAATATATATGTTCAGCATGTTCAACCCAAGAAAGACAGAGATGGCTTTCCAAAGATGTTGAATTTGCTGTGGTTGCGGGAAAGAATTCCGAGGAATGAAAGAGAAAATAAAGAGCTATCTCAAAATGCGAGAATGGAATCTCAATAATTACTCTCCTTTCACCACGGTCTTCATGGTGTTCAAAATATAGGAAGTCGGGTAGAACGTGGCCTTTTGTAAGGTGACGTCTTCCATGCCGTGCAGATGACGTTGCTCTCTCCTATCATGTGAAACATGACTCTGCTCATTATATGCCTAATTACCTCTTGGGCTCTCGCATTGAAGAAATATGGCAATGCGTCCAGCTCCATTAGGCCCACCGGAACCCCCGTGAAGTTCAAGGCCTATACAAGACAAGAAATGTTCACCAAAAAGAAAATAAGCTAAAGCTTAGAGACCAAAGCATTGGTACCAAAAATATTCGCAGTCCACGATTTAATTTGCATTTCATATGACTTTTTATAAGTATCCTATCCATTTGCGCTGTTCGGTTATCCTTGCACCTCGGTTTGTTCGTTTTTCCCCGTGCTCCAGGAGGAATATCAGGCGGAAGGGATACGGTGGACCCCGATCGAGTATTTCAACAACAAGGTGGTGTGCGAATTGATCGAAGAGAGGAAGCCGCCGGGGATCATGAGCGTCTTGGATGATGTCTGTGCCACAATGCATGCCGTCTCCGAGGGCGCCGATCGGGACCTTCAGCAAGTAAGTATCGATTTTCGACTATTGCTATGAAGCGAAGCTCTTTGGTAGAAAGCAGTGTAAGAATTGCGTAAGTCACGTTCCCAAGTGGACATGAAATCCTGACGCTGCAGCATTGTTGCAGTTTTGCTGCCTTTAAAACTTGTACCAAAAGCGCCCAATATAGTACATATACTGTACAGTACTATATTTTCACACATTCTCCCCTCCTCCCTGCACTTGGCAACACAGAGTGAAGTGTGGGAGGAGGAAGAGAAAGTTTTTTTTTCCATTTTCAAGGCATTTTATTTCTTAAACTAAGTAGAACTCTGAAAATATATGCACGCTTTTTAGGAAGTACGTTTGTGCAATCTTGTGCATGCTGAACTTTTTTAATTTTATGAAATTAATATTTTGAATACAAAACTGCAAAGTTTTGTTGCCTTTGGTAAATTGTAGTTTAAATGTAAATTAAATCAGTTTTATTTTCTAAAGCTACATACATTCATGCATATATTGGTGTCAAGTAAGCGTTAATGTGATTCATAATTATATTGATTTTAATTTACAACTTTTGCGACGTTTCAAAAAATGGATTTAGGAAAAAAAAGTTTCTCAAAATCCCTACCATTAATATTTATATATATTTTTCCTCTGTTGAAAGGGGACACGATCTACTACGTGATATATTATTTTTTCTTCGACGAGTTTCATTACGTAATAATTGATATTTTAACATGGATTTTTTTTAACGCTGCGTAAGAATTCCATATCACACTATCAGTCATCAGTAGTTTTTAATTAATGTTGTGTTACATGTTTTGTGTCAGGTATTGCATGCCACATGCAACTCGACATCATAACATCACCGTCAGTGTGACGTGAGGTTGCGAAGCTGAGAGCATAGGATATTTTCTGGAAGATTTTTAAAGTGGTAGGATTGGAATCGTCGGGAGAGTTTCTCATAAGTCAATGGTTTTCCTTCCATTCCCAGTAGCAAGAATTGTTGTGAAAGGCTCATTCCAGGTGTCAAAGGCTGGTGAGCTTCTACAAGGTGCCTCAAAAAAGAGTTCCGTCGTTTTTAAATGTCATGTCGTTTCCAAGTTCACTAAAGAAAAATTCATACTTCATACTCATATCAGGTGTAGTGCATTTCATCCACTACAATTCACGTCATCTAAATCAATCGCATGGCTCGGAATTAGTTAATGCTTTATGAAAACAGCATGAGGTTTCGCGTTAGCAAGCGTCATTTTGGGCGCTTTTCGCCCTTACTCTGTGTCATCATGGTCATCCTTGGCAATGAGGTAGTGCTTGTCGTAGTCCCTCTACGAGGAAAGAGATTATAGGGCGTAGAAAATTAAATGTTATCTTTCCGCAGGTGAAACTTGCCTAATTCTTCGAAGATGAACAAAAATACCGATTTTATTTTCTTTATTCCTACATGACGAGCAGCAGAAGGGACAGTATACGTAATGTCGAGGAGTGGTAATCAATGCTAAGAATAATCCCAAAGATTTTTAAATTATCAGTATACCAGCTATGGGTGTGGACACTCGATCGGGCCCCTGTAGGACGATAGAAGGGAAGGGTTAGTTGCGAATAGCGGAGGCATGGCCCGGATTCTAAACGATTTCTATGCTTCCGTGTTCACAAGCGAATACGATGACGGAGGTCACCTCGGCGTGCATCAAGGATATCATCACCGAGGAAGAGATCATGAGTAGGATAGGGATTTTACAGGTAGGGAAGGCAGCCGGCCCCGACGGAATTCCGGCTCGTGTCGTGATGGAGCTCTGGAGGGAAGTATCGGTACCGTTGAGAATCATCTTCAAGAGTAGCATTTTGCGTGGTGAAGTGCGTTGCAATTGAAAGTTAGCGAACGTCGTGCCGATCTTTAAGAAAAGAGATGAGAGCAGTAGAGCAGTCCGGGAAATTACAGGCCACCGAGTCTCGGGGAATGATCCCTGGAAAGATCACTGAAAGCCCTCTGAGACCACAGTTGCTTGAGGGAAATTCACTCATCTGGGAGTCTAAAGCACGGCTTTAGAAGGCGATGAAATTGCCTTTCCAATTTGCTCAAATTCTACGATTGAGTGACGGACAAGATGGACAGAAAGAATCCTGCGGACATAATTTACTTGGACTTGGCGAAAGCTTTCGATACTGTTCCTCACGAGAGATTGCGGGAAAAAAGACGAGACGCATGGGATTCGAGATATGGTGAGTGACTGGATAAGTAACTGGCTGTTAGGAAGAGAACAGAAAGTAATTGTAATTGGAGAAGTGTCGGCGTTTGTAGGAGTCGCGAGCGGAGTTCCCAGGGTTCGGTCTTGGGACCGCGCGTATTCGTAGTTAGCATTAACGATTTAGATCAAGGCCTTGCGAATGAAATCAATAAATTTTCCGACGATACATAAGTTGGTTTCCTCCATCATTGGGGGAGGACGGGAGGATTGGGAGGGAAGTCCTTCGCATCGGTCATACAGTACCAACGATAGGTCTCTGAGCGCGTTCAGCGAGGACAAGCTGGAGAGGGTAAACGGGGAGGATTTTGCTCTACTTCCTGACCAAGTGGCTGATGGTGAAGTAAACTTTAATGGAACGGGGGAAAAAAGAATACTACATGTGAGTTTGAAATTTTCTTATGCGCTTGAAAAATTGCAATCAGTTAAACAAAGTGAAGTTTTTTTGGGCCATCCTGTAGTTACTCGCCAACCTTTGAAACCATGAAGCAGCCTTTTACTGAAGTTCTTCCTCATTTCAATGAATACAATTGGTATTAAGTGATGCTGATTTGTATCCTTTAAGCTAAATCTCGCTACTCACTTGTGGATTCTCTGATTTGTTGTTTAGAAGCTGAATCAAAGTGTGGGGATGCATGCTCACTACCAGGGAAGCAGTGTGGGATTCGTCATCCATCACTATGCCGGGAAGGTGATATATAATGTGGAAGGATTCTGTGAGAGGAATCGAGACGTCCTCTTCCAGGATATCATTCATGTTATGCAGGCCAGCAACAGGTTGGCTCCACTTTTGCTTTTTTCTTCATGTATACGAGGGTATGCTGAATGTCAAAGAGCATGAAAGATTTTAACAAATACTAGCTCGAGGATGGAGACATAGGTATATAAAAATAAAGGTAATAGGTCTTTGTTTATGGCATGCTCTGCGTAATGCTTTTTAGACCTGAATACATTTCTTCACATTTTTGGGGATTGGCTGTGCACCAGTTGCTTTATCTAAACCATTTGCATGCCAAAGTTTGTACCATATAATTTATGCATTTCTTATGTGGAAAGTTAATCTGGTGTACACATTTCAGTGCTTTGAAAATGGTCCTCTGTGGAGATAGAGTATAGGACTCAATATTTGTGAAGTTCTACTTGTGCGGTCATCCATAAGATTACATATATGCATTCAATTAGAAGAAAAGCAGCTTCCTTGTGACACAGAATGACTAATGGGGATAAATGTTCTTAAGATCACACAGCTGCATACTGGAATCACGCAGAATATTCAAAGGGAACAAATTGCAGTTAATGCACCTCCACAAGCGAAAAACAAAGTTGTTTTCCATAAGTAAATTTAAAAAATAAATATGCTGTGATGCATAAACACAGTCTGTGCATGCCTGAAAGTAGGTGGTCATGAAGTCAGTAAACAATTTTGGACACAAAAAATCTGATATGCTTCAAAAGATGAGGTGCCCCTTCAGCTGCGTGCTAAAGAGGAATCAGCTGGCATCACTTATTTTCCATATGCTTGCAAATGGCATAGCACAGAAGCCTCATGCCACAAGTAAGCCCTTATATGTGGGACATGCCAGCAGCATACAAAGGCTTGAATGATCAAGATGTCTAAATGCTCCAGTCAGTTGAGCTTTCAAGTCACACTTAGGAATAGAATGGTGCAAAGAAACCAAGCTCTTATATCTTAATGAACATTAATCATTTTCATGGTATTCTTTACAAATAAATGTTGGAGTCAGTCAATTCATTGACCCAAACTCCTCCTTTTGGTACGTATGAAAGTTGGTTTTGTGAAAGTTGATCACAAGAATTCTTTCATCAGTATACAAAAAAGGGAAAGTATAAAAAGTATGATGTCCTGCGCAAAAGTTAATCAGGGAATTGCATGTTTTTGCCAGTGCATTCCTGAGGAATCTATTCCCAGAGAGAGTGGAAACTGGCAAGGGTCGGCCAACGACTGCAGGGAGCAAGATCAAGACCCAAGCCAATCAGCTTGTTGAGACTTTGATGAGATGCTACCCCCACTATATCAGGTTTGTCTGCTTCCTTATCATGTTTAGTCATCAAGGTTTTTCTGAATATTATGGATTTGAACCATCAGATTTTTCAAAATTGATCTGTTGGGATTTCCTTTTCAATGCTGCCCTTTATATTTTTGCTTGACATCTCTTTGAACTTATTGGATATTTGCTGCAAATTCCATTCAATAAAGCTGTTTATACATTTATCTTTGGTAATTGAATGACACACTTTGGCAAAGAATGCCACTTTAGCTACATTTTAAAACAAAATCTGGCCTTAATAATTTTGTGTCTACCTCCTGTAGGTTTATTTTTGCAAGTTACTAAGAATTGTTACCTAAGAAGTTTTTATCATTAATATCAGTCAGCATTATAATAAACACAAATGGAAGTTTGAAATCTCTAAAAAATAAGGTGATTTTATGAACTTCCAAATCCTTAAGCTTTATGGGGGTGGAGGAAGGGGCTTCTCTAGTTTTGAGGGAGATTACTTAATTTTTTTAGTGGGCCGCCTTTCCTGAAAGGAAAGAGACCACTTGTAGTTCCGTTCGTGTGTCCGTGTGTCACACTTTGGTTGTCCAACGATAACTATTGATTTTTAAAAATATTGTCTGATCTATGCGAAAATTGGTAAGCGGGTAGATATGAACAATATACGGGCTGAGTTCGTTTTGTGCTGAATTTACACCAAAATTGTCATGTTTATTGCAAATTTTGGATTTAAAATTTGCTAACGGAGGGGAAGCCATGAGTATCTATGAACCCTTCAGGATGTCACAATGCACATGCGCGTACGACCCAGGCTTGGAGCGCGGCGCCGTGTCAGCAACCAGAGTTGTCAGTTCCCTACCAACCTTCGTGGCAGATGGATCCAACCACGCACAGCCCTCCATCCTTCCATCATCGTTTCATGGGCACCGTTTCTCTATTTTTTACCAAATATAAATGAGAAATGAGGTTTTTGATGGTCAAAGACCGGAAAGAGATATAACTTTGCTCAATTAGGTGACAAAATGAAAGTTTCCTTAACTGAAAGGAGGTCCACTACTGGACTGGGCTTGCCAAACTTGTTATTTGAATCCTTCAGACAGAGGGAATTCTTAAGGATTTCTAGAAAGGCTCAAGGAATCCCATCAGGAAAGTCCTTTCCTCTTTTTGGAATTGAGGCTTGAGCTTTTCGTTGACTTGCATTTGATGGCACATCTTCATGAAGTGAACCAGCACTGGGGAAAGACGCCATCACTTGGTGTTTGAGAAGCGCAGCGAGGCATATGGGCTTCCTTCAGAAGAGCATATCATGATTCTTGGGAAAATATAGCACTCCTACTATGTAGGAAGTATTTCAGGCATCCTTTTTAGATTTTCATCCCTCTGTTTCCTTCATTTTAGCTCTCTTGCCTATTTTCCTTCCGTATTGACCATGGTACTGAGGTTCATGTTTTTTTTACCTGTGTTTTTCAGATGCATTAAGCCAAATGAGACGAAGAAGCCACGCGACTGGGAGGATGATCGAGTTCATCATCAGGTGGAGTACCTGGGACTAAAGGAGAACATTCGAGTCCGCAGGGCCGGATTTGCCTATCGACGCCCCTTTGACAGGTTTCTCAGGAGGTAGGAACTTGCATTAGACATATCCCATTTTATTCACACTATTCCATCTTAAATTAATTCACATATCTTCTGTAAATCCAGTGGAATATATATTGTACAGCAATTAATCACTTGAATTCGCGTCATTAATAATGCAGCGCATGAAGCTCCTTATTGCTGAGAAAAATTTAAAGCGCTTTGGAAAGAATGAAATAATTGTTGAAAGGAATCTTGACCATTTCTAGAAGCATTCATTATCAAATTATTATTGTAGCTCTCATATTGGAATAACTTTGCTGATTGCAGGCCTTTAGGAAAGACCTGCAATCAGACCTGCGCACGAGGTGGATGGAGTTTCAGGACCGCTCGAATGATTTCTCTCCCCTGACGTCATAAATACCGCTATTTATGCCAATTCTCATCGTAGTATTCTACACATCGTAGAATAGTACTACTTTCGTACATCGTAGCATCAGAATCGATACCACGATACTACGATGAGAACTGGCGTAAAAAGAGGTATGCAAGACGCCAAGGGAGAGAAATCATTCCTGAAACTCCATCCACCTCGTGCGTGGAAAGGTCCATTTTATGACTCTACCTTGAGCGACTGTCGATATTTATTCATGAAACTTTCAGGAAACAAATTTTGTGGTGTTTCCAACGTCATATAAAAATATCACAAACCTAGATCATACACAACGAATTTTATAAGGCACCAAGTACGACGCGCATTTTTTTGGGCCTCCCAGTATAGATGCGTTCCCACATCTACCTCATTATGTAATAGAAGGATTGGACCAGTTCTTGGACTTGTTCCTGTTGTCCTGGGAAATTGCAAGTATATCTTACATAATTAATGAGAAACACCTACTGTTGAGTTAACTCATCTGTGACAATAATAATAATGTTCGTGGAAATTTAGTACATGTTCAAATTTTCAGTTTTTAATTTTATGATGATCAAGTTAATTATTGATCTGAGCTTCAGCTAATAGCAAAGATTCACCTAAGTTTGGGCATTGCAGGTATGCCATTGTATGCCCTGAGACATGGCCCTCTTGGAGAGGAGATGTACGAACAGGAGTCATGCGAATTCTTGCCACAGCCAACCTTGATCTGGATCAGTATCAGCTTGGAAGGTCCAAGCTCTTCATCAAAGCTCCTGAATCTGTATGCATTCCAGACTATCCTTCATTCTAGTTGTATAAACGCCCCACTGAGTTATTGTGCATGCACTTTACTCCCGAGCAATGGAGCCCAGGGATATTCCTATTTACGTGTGGTTGATGATGTTAACTCACTTCAGATGTTAAGAGCCACTGAATGAAATCCTTGGGAAATGTATTCAGTAGGGCTCTATCGGTGGCCACTTTGCCGAGGCCGATGCCGATTGTGACATGTGAAGAGCAAAGAACCATATAAAATACTCAAATAGGCCTCATAGGAAGCCATGCTTCGCCCTTTTTTTTTTTTTTTAGTGGCTTTTACGATAGCTGTTTTGAGAACAAGATATCGACCTGAACTATCGATTGGGTATCGGCACTTCACGAGGTGGAGGGAATTAGGGGTAGTCGGCCGATTCGATTATCTCTCGTCGCGATCGAGCGGAGGTCTGACTTCCGTTATGTCCTTCCTCTATGGGGGCACTGACCTTCCGTCATCTCTTGTCCGTGATTGGGGTGAGGTGTTACCATCGCGATGGGTAAAAAAGCCATGCCTCCAACTATCGATAGGAACATCATTAGATCGATGCATCGTTATCCTTACTCTTTTCTGTTGCTGTTGGGAATCATTTACCGAGCTGCATTCACTTATTTAAAATTATTTTTCTTCGTTCGATGCGTTGTGCCTTGGGCATCGACAGCTTGCAAACCTTAGATGGCCGATGACATCGATGATGCCAAACCAGCAGCCGACAATGGTAGTTGCCGATGCATCGGTACAGCCATGGTATTTAAATACGGTCAAGTTGTCTAGTTGGAAAGTTAGACTTATTTGTTTTATGAGTAGGCATGCTACTTTTACGTGAGAGGAGATGGATAACCAGTTCTGCCATCTTTCTGCATCTGGGAATATTCTTTGAAGATTAAAAAAAAAACGTGTATTTTATAGTTGTTCCTGTTGGAGGAGATGCGTGAGAGGAAATTTGATGGTCATGCTCGTATTATCCAGCGGGCATTCCGACGCTACTTTGCTCATAAGAGATACTTGAAGACCAAACAGGAAGCTGCTGGTAAGCATTTATTGATAATTTTTGCTTGATATCAAAGTTGCTTCTTCGTTCTGGTTCAACGAAATGTCTTCTGGATCCCACAGAGCTATTCTTCTGCAAAAAGGATCGCAGACGATTCTCACTGAACCGGAATTTTGTCGGCGACTACCTTGGCCTGGATTCTAGGCCAGACCTGCAGGCTCTCATTGGCCGACGCGAAAGGGTCATCTTCGCACAAACCGTCAACAAGTTTGATCGCAGGTTCAAGGTCAGCCATAGGAAAGAACAAAAGCAGAGATAAAGATTCGGTACTTCATTATGCCTTCTCTTTGGTTTAGAGCTGCAAGAGAGACCTGATCCTCACTGCACACTTTGTCCTTCTCCTGGGTCGGGAGAAGGTCAAGGAGAAGGGCCCCGACAAAGGGAAGGTCAAGCCGGTCATCAAGCGGAAAATTGGCTTTGAGAACTTGGATCATGTTGGTCTCAGCATATTGCAGGTACCTTTCTTCACAATGCTCTTACGTCGTCTCTGCCCTTGACTTGCTTCAGTGGAGTTAAAATATTTGTATTAAGCAATTATCCTAATGCTTATAGTTTATAACCATTGTTTTCACTTGTGTGATCTAAGTCTGAGTATTCTTCATGTGGATTTTTTGTTCAAAAGTTTCTCAGGGAATGTCTATTGCATGTCATTTGCTTTCCTGTACACAGGATGACTTCTTGGTCCTCTACGTCCGCAATGAGTATGACTCCCTATTAGAGGTGGCTCTCAAGACAGAATTTGTCTATGCATTGGCCAAGAAGTATCGAGAAAAGATGAATCGTGACCTTCAGATTGCATTTCTCAACAAGTAGGTTCCTATTTAATATTTGTCTCATTTATGATAGTGACACATCCTGCCTTTGTGGTATTGATGTTGAGGAATTGAGTTTGAAATTAGAGTTTCAACAGACCCAGGAAGAGTCAAGCAAACAGAAATGTGGTCACAAAGTAAGGTAGAAGTCAAGATATTATTTATCTACTATCCTAAATGTCAGGGAAATAGGAAAATGCAAGTGTCACTCAACAAGGGATGAGGGAAGTTGACATAGCAATGGAAACGGTGCAGGTTATGCATAAATACGGAATCATCTTAAAACTGGACTGAACTGAACTTGAGCAGTCAGGGACATGGGTTCTCATATTTATGTGGAACTTTGGAAATATAGGTTGGAGTTCCGGGTGAAGAAAGAAGGATGGGGAGGAGGATCAACGAGGACAGTGCGATTTGAATGCAATCCCCAAGTGGGGAACAAAGGCATTGCCCAGGCCAGCTCCAAGGCCCTCGTAGTCTCTGTTGCCCCTGGCCTGGGAAACAATGCACGTACGTCTCCATCCATCCATCCATCCATCCATATTTGCAGTTGTGGTCTCCAAATGTCTTGCATGCAGTATAGTCACTGATGTAGCTGAACCAGCACACAACCAGCTGAACCAGCATACATGTTTATTTCCAAGTACTCAACAAGATTCATCCACTAATGGATTCATCCTGTTAGCAGCCATCACCATACTCATGCATTCTCTCTTGGATATGACTTCAACATGATTTAGAGAATATGGGGTGGAATTGATTAGGGGGTCACAGTCATCTTCCAGGAATTCACAAGTTCATGGAAGATTTAATTGGACAAATTCAATTTCAGGACCACAGCTGTCAACACCAATGAGACCAGTAGGGGGTAGGGGAACAGCAGAAGCCCGCAAGATATCCATTCCCTCAAGATCTGCCCCTCTCCCACCTTCTTCCAACCAGCCAGCCCGGCCATTGCCTCCCATGAACTTTCAGCCAAGTCATCATCCAATGTTACCTACAAATCGCCCACCACCACCCCCCTCTGAACCAGCTCCACTTAATCAACCCAAGCTGGAAAACGTTTCTGCATTCCGTAACAAACAGATTCAGCCTGGTATGTTTATTTTGATGCAGAGACCTACTTCACTCTCTTGCATTGATTCATTCATATGAAGTATGAACATCGATTTTCAGGTAGGACAGGTGTGCCCTCACTGCCTTCAAGTGGTACTCATAATATATCCAGGAAAATCTCAGCCACTCTGGAGAAGATCCAAAAGGATTTGGAATTCTTGAAACCACCCGAACCTGGAGTTGCAGGGTAATTTTCATCATACTTAGACAAGAATTGATGTCTCTCTGTGTCACATCTTCCTCTAGGCCTCTTCCATTTTTTCACGGTTACCTCAGATAATGGATGTAAGAGATTGCTAATGAGATCTCTTGCTCCACATGAATTCAAAATTTTTATTGGTTTCAGTTTTTTCCTTATTGAGTAATTACCACAGGGTAAATACATATTAGTGCCTGTTATGAAATCAGGAAAAATAGAGAATCAGCTATATCACAAGCAATTTTGATTATGTTCTTGTTTCTATTTTTTCTTTACAGACAGAAGAGAGAGAGTCTTAGTAAGCCTGTCCCAGGTGGGGGTCGGATGAAGCCACAACTCCCACCCAAAAAGCCTTCTGCGGGGCCGAAATGTCGGGCCCTGTATGATTATGAACCCACTGACACTGATGAGCTCCTCATAAAGGAAGGAGATGTCATTGAAATCATCAAAGAAGGTACAGGCTCTTAGTGTATTTCTAAATCCTCCTTTATCACTTTTCTTATCATTATTTCCACAATTCCACTCAGGTGTACAACAGGAGTCCTAATATTTTAATAATGCCATTCTTGATGCATTTTCTATGTTTGTTTGGTTGCTGTTTTAAGGTGAAAATTTATTGCCTTGTCTTCATATGGAACAGATCCTAATGGCTGGTGGGAAGGGGTCCTCCGGGGGCGGAAGGGTCTTTTCCCGGGGAACTATGTTGAGAAACTCTGAGGAAAGAAATTCATAAGATGACATCTTGCTCTCTGTCTCATCTGTGATGATCGCTGAGTATTCCTGCCCATGGAACTTCCTCCAACTCCAAGATACTTTTGCTGGCCTTTGTCTGCTTGGATCATTTGTTGTTCCTGTGTCGAGGCTCTTTGACCCTTGAGTGTGTTTCAGGATGTATTCAGCTTCAGCTCGTAGACTGCAAGCACTCAGGAAGGTTTTGATTTCTTGTGAATGGATTTTTTACTGATGGCTTGCGGTCCATCTTTTCATCTCTATCTTGCTTATATACCACTCAGGACCTAGTGGTAAACATGATGAAAGGTATGACAAGCCTCTAGGACAGTCACTCAGACAGTTGAATACTTGCATGAACATGTTGATTAATGGAACATTTAGTAAATCTGATCACCAACATGTTAATGAATTTTTACACCTACTTGTGTGCTTATGCTTTGTGTCCCTGTTTTCAATTTTATATGGCTTATTTGCTTAATTTTGGTCATTCATGATGGCTCAGGATCCCATTCTGGCTTGGGTAGGAGTCATTTAAATATGACAGAAGCAAAATGTGATATGCTTTGGATTCCATGGGAGCAACATTCCCTTGATTTCACAAGATCCAAGTATACTCATGATTGGATGGATTTCAGATGTAAATATTAGCAAGACAATTTAGACAATCTTGGATGTGAATAATTTATGATGGATTGTAGGACTGAGAAGGGTTGTAGTTGAAGAGAGTAATACAATCACTCCATTTCCTATGGAGAGACTTAGGGTATTTAATGCTGTAATACATTAAATCCGTCAATCTTTCGCGGGTATGTTTGGGGCAACGTTAGTCCAGTCTAACACTCTAGTCTTCAAGACTGCATTAGTCTTGAACTTCTAGTCTCTCCAAATCATTACAATATTAATCATTAGACATTATTTTTACTGGTTTTTCCCTTTGTATTACATTTCATCAATTTTTTTGCATGAAACTTGTAGAAGTAGTTTCTGAAAGTTTTATTGATGCTCATAGAAGCTTTTAGATATTTTTGGGGTTGCAAACATTTTTCCATTAGTCTGCAGACAGTTTTTACACATTTGGAAAATTTTGACAAAACTGATATCCCATGATTTGGTGATGACATGCATTGATGGATTATTTTAAAGTGTGATTGCAGAATCAGTTGATCAATTGCTGCCTTGCTGATTGCCTTTTTGTGAAGAAAGAGTACCTGCCCAAGATTTGTGCCTTGGGATGGAGCTACTTAAGAGTACTCTCAGTACTTCCAAAAACCTGTAGCTTTAATATCATCATCGAAATTGTGTGATAATTTGCCTGCTCTGCATGGCAGGTCTCTTCCGAATTGCACGTTTTGATTTTATGGGTCTGGTGGAGGAAATGCACTGCATAGTTACCTCTTTGCCTTGCACTGCCCTTGTCACCTCCAATGATTCAATAAACCTTGCAAATTTCTTACCAGATATTTTTTTCTTGTTATTATGTTGTCACAGAATTGGGTCCATGCCTTTGACATGGTTGCAAGTTTTTGTTTGCTTCCACTCCCTAGCTCACCCATCCCTTGTGGTAAATAATTTTTTTTTTCTGCTTCATGCAAAAATTATCATGTTTACTTTTATCATTAAATGTTTTCTGCTCTTGCATAATCCCGTTCATATTCATTCATTCTTTTCGAGGCCGCTTATCCCAGCTTGATGGGGTCGTGGCTTAAGCACACCCAAGAGCCATTCTATTGGGTGTGCTCAAGCCTCGGACTCGAGTTCGGAAAGTGAAATACCGAGCCTCTCGCGGCCAAGCCAAGCGATTTAGTCCGACCACCTTGCGAGGTAGTTTCGGGGGCATTCGCATCCTCACGACGCGGAACAGCGGCCACCCACCTTGAGAACCTAATTTTCAAGATACGGGCGACCCTCGACGGGGTGGAAAGCCACACGCGTTGGAAAACGGGTGAGGTGGGAAGCCCGAAGCGATGAGAAAACTCGCGACGAATCGAGATCTCTGAAAATAATTCCCAATCTGAAGTTTCGGCTGACTGTTGCCGCAAAGAAGGCGAACTACAGGGTGTGTATTTCCTCAGATCCTTCGAGGATGCGTTGCTGAGAGACGCGTGGAGCTGCAGCTCGAGCTGTAGCCACAGCAAAATGAGAAAGCATGGAAGATAAGGAAAGCGACTACCGCACCGCTAAGAAGGCGTTGTGGCAAACCGTTCGAAGGCTCCGGCAAGGCAGGCAACATACTCCCTGGGTCGAAACGGGAAGGTCTTGTCTGCCGAAGCGGAGATACTTAAAAGCAGTGGCGTAGCGAGGGGGGGGCTTCAGCCCCCCCAACTCTGGTCGAAATGCGTCTGCCCCACCCCGACGAGGCGAAGTTAGCCCCCCCAACTTTCCGCTTAGCCCCCCCATTGACGAAAACGTGGCTACGCCACTGCTAAAAGGAGGAAGGAAAATTTTGAGTCTCTCTTAAATCCACTCACGGCTGCAGGGCCGGCCTTAGGCATGTGCCACATGTGCCCTGCATACAGGTGCACCAAAACGTGCTAGAATGGATGAAGCAACAATGGATGCCGCCCTCGGTTTTACTTCAGAAAATGGAAATGCTTTCCGTTTCGGCGTCCTTTAGGACGCTAGGGGTCGACCCTTCTCCCTTCTGATGAGGGGGGGGGAGGCCGTTAGGAGTCTTAGCACAGGGCGCCGAAATAGCTAGGGCCGGCCCTGCACGGCTGACCGATGTACCCGTATCTTGCGAATTGTCTCACCGTGGAGACTATTCGCAACTATCTTGAAGAATGGAAAAACTCTCGGTGTGGATGAAACCCGAGCAGAGGCACCGAAAGCGATGGTACCCATGAGTGCTCATAGTAGTATAGAGTACGTCGAACCGCATAGGAATCGGGGACTATACCGGGGAATCGGCAGACCGGTGTGGTGGTTCCTCATTTTTGAGAAGGGGGTCTCGAGGGAGTGCACCAATATCCGTGGAATCGCTCTCCTCTGCGTACTTGATGAGGTCTACGTAGAGGTGCTGGAAAAAAGCGTTCCCAAAACGCAGGTTATGGTCCTCGAGTAATCCCGCTGCGACTCGTATCTATGCCTAAAAAACGCAGGTTCGGCTGGGACTTGTACAATTCGGTGCAGCTGTCGGACTTGGAACTGCCCTTCACGAATCCCTACATCGACACCACCATGCTCACCTACAATCCAAGGACGAAGGTCAGTCGCGACTCCTTTAAAAATGTTATATCGATGGCGCTAGTGCCTACACGACTGAGCCATGCCGCTGATGTACAGGGTGGTCGTAGTCGAGCATCATAGGCATATTACATGATTTCTTCAAAATGTTTTCCTTCATATTAAACACACTTGCTCAAACGCTTCATCCAATCGGCCTGCACACGGGGAATTGTAGCTTCATCCGTATTCACAGATTCGCGACACTGTGTTATGCGTTCTTTAAGGGGCTGCACGTCTCGTATCTTCACTTCGTACACTTTAGCTTTAATTTAACCCCAAAAGAAAATATGCATTGGGGTCAAGTCCGGTGATCGTGGGGCCCATTCCACTCGTTCTTCTTTAGAAAAAGAAAGAGACATTTCAGCGGTGAATTACCTGCAGAAAAATGTAGTTGCTATCGTGTGATGCTTGACTTCATGGCCACTCTGTATGTACATTGGCGTATACTATTGCATTTTTGAATCGACTGCACGAACGAATAAGATGAAAAACTTTGTCAAACATAAAAATAAGACATGTAAGCATTTCCATTTTCGAGTCCGAATTTTCTTGAAGAATTTTTTTTTTTAACGCACGTTGTGAATTATTTTTCAAAACTTTCACGTGGATTTCCCATAACGATCCATGAAGAAAGGAACTGATCGGACGCGACCGTGTTTTGCGCAGAAACTGCTGAGCTGGGACAACGGGTACCAGCTGAAGTACCCGGTGAAGCAAAGTTCCCTGGGGCTGGGGGTGGACGAGGACGAGAGGAAGGACGACCCGATGAACGAGGTGTTCGAGAGCGCCGTGGGGAATGTGTCGTTCGTTCCTTGAGGGCCCGGTTTTGTCTCAATAAAAGGATGTTGTGGGACGGAGGGGCGTTCAGTCGGGGAGGGGAGG